GCACATTTTCTCCAGTCAGAATGCAAAGCCTAACTAGACCTGCAACTGCTGTTCCATGTGGGTCTAGATAAAGCTGAGGCTAGGTATTAGAACCAGAATCTTTTCTACAGTGCTCACACTGATATACTTGCTGTTTCCTAGCACAGTGAGTGATTCTCCGCTGCTCTCAGTCCAGATGCAAAAGTGAAGAGGAAACAAGGAAAGGAACAGAACAAACCAAGGAAGCTGACAGATTTGTATGAGGAGGTGGAAGAATCAGGGAAAAGGACAAATTTTACAGAGAAGAGAAGCTGTAACTAAGAAATGGAGATAATACACACAGAGTAGAATAAGAGGAAAATAGACTAGAAAAGACTTGAAATCCAGACAGGAGATTAGATACTGATGAAGAGTTGAAGGATGCAGGGAAGGAGGCAATGGGAGGGGGAAGGACAAGACTGGGACTTAGGAACCAGAAGACAGCAAAACAACCACTACTACAGGACACACTGGGGGGAAAAAAAAAACAAACAACAAAACAAAACAAAAAAACAAAAACAGACACAGGATCAAGACTTAGAGAGAGAACCCAGACAATCTGAGACTGTGAGTTATAGGAAAAAGACTGGAAATAAGTGATTGTGGTTAAATGGCAGGAGAAGGGGCTTAGAGATAGAAAGGGCTGTGAGAAAGGAGAGACACTGGATTTTTATCAGAGATATAGTGGTCAAGCTGATATTGGTGATCAAGGGGACTGGGACAGGATCATGCCTTACCAGTTCTTTTCATAGATCTCCATTTTTTTGTTTGTTTGTTGTGGGGGAGGGGGGGCAGGGATTGTTTGGTTCTTTGGGTTTTTTTACAGCAGCTTTTGTTGTGAAATTTCCAGCTACCCTCCTGATTTCTGAGCAGTCAGAGATGTATAGGGAGCTAATCTGTGCATAAACAGGGCAGGCAAAGGTTGCAAGAGCAAGCAGAAAAGTGTAATTACTTTCCTGTGGTCCCACAGCAGGTTAGTATCAAAATCAGGAACAGAATTCCGGTCCCTCCTCCCAGCTTCAGTGCCCAGTTCTCCAGACCCTGCCGCCTTCTTCCATTTCCACAGAGCATACAAAACAGGCTGACTGACAAGACAGGCACCACTCCAGCAAAACACAGACCCATGTAGGGAGGCATAAACTCCTCTGCCTGCAGTCTGAACTGAAGGGACAAAAGACATCTCTGGTTCACATTCCGTGTAGCTATGGTTATTCCAAGCTCTGTATCTGAGCTAAAAACCTATGCTTAGAAGAAGAACATGGTAGCTTGACAGCATCACCCTAATGTGGCTGTAAGAACTGTGCTGTCTTGCACCTGCCCAGCTTGGAGCACTAAGCAATCTATTTCTATCCAGAAAGACATATGTCCCTGAAAAACACTGTGCCTCTTGCAAATCCATATCTGCATTTCAATGAGGATTTTTAAAGCCCTGTGTCCACTACATCGGTCAGATTTGCCCCCTGCTTCATTTCTCTCACAACAAACCATCTAAAGCATGGCTAACTGGACACTTCCTACACAGCTATAGCAAATGAATGAATTCTTAGTTCATACCATGATTGTTAAAAGCTCTACGAGTTAGCTAGGCTTTACAAACTTACCAACAAATTACTGAACATTAATTAATTAATTAAGGAACAACTCATTACCATTTTTTTTAATATCTGAAAAAAATACATCTAGCTACAGTTGGTTTCTCTTCCCTTTATGAAACAATTCATCTGCTTTGTTTTTAGCTTCCCAAAAAGCATTACAATTAACAATAACAAATAATAAAGAAGAAATCATCAGCAGTTACTACAAATAAATTCTAAGAGCTGACAATGCAGATTAAAAATCTTGTGTTTCTGGGTGGGTGTATGCAGGAATAACATAAAATAAAATAGCTGCACATTTTGGGGGGGGCTGAAAGTAAAAGTAGCTGATAGAAAACATATGCTTTGCTGAAATACCTTCCAAATCATGGATGCTTGCAAGTTTCTGCTGTTATCAACAACAACTTGTATTTGTCATGGAATATATCATAATTATTCATTTCAAAAGCTCCAAACCAAGAAAGCAAACAGCAACTTTCCCTCTATTTTAATGGACAAATACATTTACCAGTCTATATTCACCAAATGTTCACTGGAGAGCTCTAGATTTGTCTCTACAAAAACACATCTGCTAGCATTTATCTTTTATATATGTTTCCAGTCAAATTTACCTTCTTTTTAGAACAATATAGAATCTACACAGAGAGAACCTTGGCTTTGGTCTTGCTCTAGAGACTACCTAACAAAAAATTATTCTTCTGCCTCCAATATTTTCTATTAAGTCTTTTAACCATTCTCTGCTATCTCACACTGTTCATTATAAAAGAACACATTACCCATGGCAGTTACACATAAATAGATTTTAAGAAGAATGGAAAGGTGTGTGTTTTTGCAGTACATTTGATGACATAAAAGTTCAGAAATCAGTCATTACATACCCTGAGCACTGTTATGCTGGGGAAAAAAAAAAAAAAGCTTCATTGTCTTTGGAGATTAACTCTCACATTAATTCTAAACTCAATAAAGTGAAGATCATAATCCAGACAAAAGGTCTTGACTCTGCATTTCTATTTATGCTAAGTAGAACTTCCTTAAGCAGGAGGTTCCATTGGTTATAAGGCTGTACTGAAATGAGAAAAGGTTGTAAACCCATGAAACTAGAGGAAATAACTCACAAGGAAACAGAAAATTAACATTATGACTATCTGACAATGACATTTAAGATGCATGAAAACTTTGATTCCAGAGAAGAAAAGGTATTTGTCACAGAAAAAAATTCTAATGCACTTCAGACTGCTTTGAGTTGTTTCCATGGTTGTTTCATGTTAACATTTTCATAGCTTCTTCACAGATTCTAAATTTCAAATCTGTAAGAATTAGTGTTCTGGTCCCCCAAGTCATGGTATGCCTGCAAAGCGCATAACAATTTGGCTTCACTTCAAACCTGTTTTTCTCTCACTTGCACCTCCTCAACCATCCTCCAGCTTCCCCCATGCTGTGCTGAAAGCCCCAGCCTGAAAAGCAGCTTTCTCCTACTGAAAGGGACTCAGCAACCCGTCATAAATGAAAACTCCTGCCTAATTATGATGACGCATATAATGACTGGGCATAGCAGTTCTCCTTTCCAGTTCAGTATAAGGATGTATTTCAGACTCTGTCCACTCCACCTCTACTCTGGTGTAAGGTCTTACTGCATTTTTCCATTCTGCCTCAGTGTCTCCATTCTGTGACAGAGGGAATCATCCAACTGTTTCAGCTTCAGAGCCCCTAGCTTAAACATGACCTATCTTCTGGAGTCTCCAGTATCCTTCCATTGATACCAAGAGCAAAGACAGAAAGAGGCTGTCTTTGTTCATATTGTTCAAACAACAAATATGAACAAGAAAACACCTAAGCCAAAGAAAGAAGTGGAGAGCAGTATGAGAGCAATGGAACCATAGTTCAGCACAGTGGGCCAGCAGGAAGAATCAGGATAAGGAGAAAGTGACTATTGATGACAAAGAAGCCTATTTACTGGGTTAATTTCCTGCAGGTACACAGCTCCCAAAGAACATAAACTCTTAAACTGCCATTACACTTCACAGTAATCTGAAGACACATAAGAAGCAGCAAGGCAAAAGAAGCTTACAGCGGTACAAACTATCGGAGGGCAGGAGGAAAGGATCCAGAAATGGAAATCTATAAGAAAGTTGAATCTGAATGGACAAGAATAATGAACAATTTGGAGTAAAGCTAAGCTTAGCAACAAGTTGTAAGGATAATTACAGACAGAAGGATCATGCTCTAATAAAGAAGATGGTCCCAGAAACTGACTTGGATTTGATGGCAGAAACCAGAGTGAAAACAGAGAAGAAAGTCTCAGGCAGAGAGGAGAGGGAAGCTGAATAAAGCTTAGATTTCATGCCCTTTTCAAATCTGCAATTATCTGGAAAAGCAGTAGAAGGTAGAAAAAAACACCTGTTTATCCTCTACTAACATGTTTGAAATTCAGTTCCTGTAAAGAAAACATATGAATATATTTAATACTACACCACTTAAAGTAAGCACTTGCAGTTCCTAACAGTTCTGTACCTTATCATACAACTGAAAATTTCCTGCCTTTCTTAACAACTGAAATACATCTCTTCTGCTTCATACAAGATCAAAGTAGATATTGGCATTCCTGCTGGGGAATATTACTAAAAGTGAAAATCAGTAGCATTCATTGAATTTTAAACACTGAAATGGAGACCTGTTTCTAAAATCTGTTCTGAGAAGTCATTCTTAGTCAACAGTTTCTCTTTTTACTATATGCTTTGTTATCTCTGTCTGCCAAGCTATTACTGCTGTAATACAATTTTCTACTTACTTAATGGCATGGTGTCTTGCATCTGTATAATGGCGAATGGAGTAATTTTGAAGATGAATTAGATCTAATGTAAAGTTATGCTTAGACTGAAAGGCCAAGTAGAGTCCCTCACTTCCCAATACCCCAAAGAGCGTGACTGAACAAGATGGGGAGGTGTCTAGCTAGATCCCTGGTCTCAGCGTGCCTGCTAGTCCCTAGTGGTAGTTAAGCAAGGGAAAAATACTGGTCTTTGTAAAAACATGTGGGGAACATCATCTGCAGAGTTAGATGCCTGACTCCATTCAGTACTCTTCCTACATGTATCTTAACATAAGTACAATGTCTCAAAGTCTCTGAACTCTGTTACCATGAGTTCCACATTTCCCTCCTTGTATAGGAAAACCAAAGCCACAGTTTGGTTTCTGTTTTGCCCAGGAAACACTGAATATTTTAGTTTGTGCTCAGCTTCCCAATCGCCAAGCTGTACTTCAGGACTCTTTGCAACTTTCAACTTTTGACTGCCACATTTTGTGCCCCCAAAGCAAGTTATAGGAAGAGAGCCAGCAGTAAGAATTTGAAAACTTCAAATACTTCACGTAGAAGTAAATAGAAACACTAACCTCTTTCATTTTTTCCAGTTCATTCTGTAGTGCTTGTTTGGCAATTTCAACTTCTATAAGCTGCTGTCTTAATTTTTCATTTTCATCTTCTGTTACAGTACGCTTTTCTTCCACATTTTCTAATTCATGATGAAGTCTCACTGATACATCTTTTGCAACCTAAATGAAACGGTATTTCAAAAGACAGATTAAAAAAAGAGAATTCCTGATGCAGTGCTTACTGACTAAGCAACCATTTAGAGATTAATTCTGGACATTTGATGGAAGTGGTATGTAAAGAAACATGCAGACAAGGACATCCACAGACAGAATTCTAAATTATTCCAAATTCAAGCCAATTCCTTCCAAAAAATGGTACGTTATTCCTATGGACTTCACTGGAAACCACGTTAAGACACTAAACCCCAACTCCTTCTAGGGTTCTGTTACATCAGTGGTAAAACAGGACCTTCATTATTCCTGGAGACAGTGCAGCATCTATTTTCTCTCAACCACTGCTAGCTTATGTTCTTCAATGCATTACAGTGTATGCCCTCCAAATATTTAACATGCAGAAGCATCTAAAAGCAGCCCACCTTCTTCAGGCCTTCCCTACCTGTGCCTTGTATAGGACCACAAACTGACATATCTTTATTTTTACCCAGTTAGTTTCAATGTCCTTCATGAGCAGTTAATCTAAATATCTGGCATTTACTACTATTGGTTCATTTAAAGAGTAAAATATGAACAGATGACTTTTTTACTGACCTTGTGTTCACCAAAATGACATCCAATATTTTAAATAAAAATAGACACTAAGATTTTTTTTTTTGGGGGGGAGGTTTAATGTATTTTCACAGAAAAAGAGTTAAAAGGCACATGTCAGGACCTAACTCCTTTTCTTCTTGTAAAGTAATGAGAATTTTGCCATTCAAGCCACTTGCATTGTATTTTGTGAAAACACCGGAAACTATAATCATGCACCAAAAGTATTGAGATATACACTAATCACTGTTATGATGGTGATTTAGACATAGAGTTTGAAAAGCCTAATTTCCTGCTTTTTTTAGAACATTGGAAAGTATAATTAATCCTTCTTAGCATTAGCTAGGGGAGCTCAGAGAGCTATCCTTTATGGCTTTCACTATAACAATCTTTATGTTCGTATATCAAAGAACTCTATTTGACATACTGAAACTCTAAAGGAAAAAAATAACCATTTTAAGCAAGCAGTCTAGAAGGATCTGATCTATTAGAAAACAGCAGCAGCTAGTGACTCAGCTTGCCCTGACAAGAAACCCAGTGTGTGTGAATTACAGATACAACACTGCAGTGTAGCACAAGATCATTCAGTAACCTCCCCCACTGCACACGCACTCAAGACACATAATGCCCAACAGAAAGAGCGAGTGGAGGGGAATTTCAATTATAACTATACTCCAAAGAGACTGCAGGATGAGCTTAGAATCACACCACAAGGCTATAGCTTGATGTCTTTTCCTACACTCAGTATTAAACTGCTCATCTGGTTGTCCAACCAAAGTAAATGGAAAATCATGGGGGACATTTTTAACAGCATCTTACCAGAACCTGTCTTCAGACCATAGATATAGTCTGGATCAGGAAATGTAACCAAATAACAAAATCGTTACTAGTAGTGATTTTTCGACACAAAATTTGGTGGAGTAGCAATTAATGCAGGGAAATTCTACAGAGCATTCTGGATTACACAGGAAATGGGACTCACTTATGCAAGATGCATTTTAATACAGCTATATGTAAACTGTATCTCTGAAGGATTAAGTCCCCTAATATATTACCTGTAAAAAAAGAACAACGTTATTTTGGATAGAAATTCTTCAAAGAGGACTTGGGAACACTACAGAGAACTGCATGTGAATTACAATTGCAGTTAGCCAACACCCAGAATTCAATTAGGCAGAAATATGGCATTAGATGTTCACCCCTACTCTAAAGCAGAACCAATCTGTGGGAATACTCTGCAGAAACACTGTTCCTTTCCAAAGAGTCAGTTGTGTGGTTATTGGGAAAGACATGGGAGAAATCCTAATTAAAGTGAGCCCTTTGTCCAGCTTAACCTAAGGCTTTAGGGGCTATCTGCTATATTGCAGGCGAGCACCTCACCAGAGGTGCCCTCACCATTTCCCTCCCAGGCCCTGCACATGCATGACTTGCTAATACAAAGTAACATCGAGCCAGCAAAGAAAGCAACTCTATAAGCTGGAATCACAGTATTCACTTGGGACACACACGAAGGCTCACGTTCAAACTCTGTCTGCAAAGGTGCGTGTCTCAACTGTCCACCTAAGCATCATCCCGAGTGTGCAAAATAACCCTTGTTTCCATCAGAAATTTCCCTGGCAAATGGGTTGTTTTGCTTCTGACCAGGAAGACTCTTTTGTCAAGAGCCACATGGACACTTGTAGAACTCTCACAGACACAACAGCAAATCTGGGTTTTGAATATGTACAGACAAGGAATATCAAATAGAAATAGAGAAGGATACTAGCATTTTACATGGCATTAGTGAGAAAATTACTGGAATGTGTCTTGGACTGGTTTCTACATTTTAATAAGAATGATGACAAGCTGGAAAATTTTCAGAAAAGATGATCCAAGTCTTTAAACCAAGCCTGGGAAGAGCAGACCTTCAATCCATTATACCTATCAGAAGGAAGTTTAAAAATGACCTTGTTCCTGATCATGTATTAAATTAGCATTTTCAACTGTAGTCTGAAGAATCCAACAAGCCATAGGTATCTAGAGTCCTAGCAGTAGTGTGGTGAATAAGCTCACATCTGATATACAGAGTTTTGTACTTCCATGAGAAATGGCCGGAGACCTGTCAACTGAAAAAAGTTTAGGAGCCATGATTCAGTAGGAGCCTTAACAAAGTCTAGTGAATGGAAGCGGAAATTAAACAGCTTCCTACTAGCACAAGGAAGGTTGTTTTTTTTTCTGTAACTGGACCAACCTAGATGGATATTTTTGGCCAATTAGACCAATTGAGATAATGGATATTTTACCCACAGCAGTCTTTAAACAAGAGATGAAACCTTTTGACAATGGGCTGTGGTTCATCCAGATGTTATGGACGAAATACAGTTGATTACACACTGAAATGTGATGGGTTTTGAGTATGGTTTCAGGAGGATGTGGAATATCCTGGCTTCACTGAAGATAACAGCAGCTCTTCCACTGACACCAACAGAGTCAGGATTTCATGTTGTGACTCTGCAAGTATTTAATCTGCCAGTCCTCTGAAATCTTTACTGAAGAGTATCCTAATCACCTCAAAGTCAATGGGACTGTTCAGGCAGGTTGGTTTAATTTTGCAGTTGTAGGGTTATGTTTTTGCATTCATCATAAAAGACCCAAAACCTCTAGATCCTAATTTGTATTTGAGTCACTTCTTGCACATTAACTTTACAAAAAACGATTGGTCTAAAGCTGAAAATATCCTACCTGTGTACTGAAGGGCATCTATTACCAAGGAAAGGTTGGCCATTGCTATCCTACGAGCTGCACTGGGTGCACAGTAGAATGGATGGAAATGCCTGAGTCATGAGAACCAAGAGCACGGTCGCGTCTCTGTCTGAGGCGCTCCCAGCCCTTGACACCTGGTAAGGTCCATACCTTGAGGTCCTGCTCCATGCTGCGCAAGAGCTCACCATCGATCTCGCCAGTCTGGGCGTAGCGGAGCCTCTTGCGCTCGGCCTTGCGCAGCCGGTACTGAAGGATCCGGCAGTTCTTGTTGGCTCGCTCCAGTTCGTGGCGCATTTCTTGAAGCTGACAAGCGTCCTCCTCGAAGAAACTGTCCCTCATCTCGTCCATCTCTGTCCTCAGCTCATCTATCTCGTTCTGGCACCGGGGCGAGAAAGGGACAGGGACGCAACAGGTGGGTCAAAAGCACAAATGTCAGCACGTACAGAGGAAGGCGGCCAAAATGGAGCTCCTGCCCGCAGGGACGCCAGCCAAAGGCTGCCCGGCTCATCAAAAGCACCGCAAGGAAGCGGGGAAGTGCCGCTGCCCGCACGCCCCACGACTGGGCCATCTTAACGCTGCCCCCAGCGCCAGTGCCGGGGGAGAG